ACTACAATTCCTTGAAGTTGGTACGACAAGCAAACAGAAAGGACATTGTTGGGTGGGAGGGGGGAGGGGGAGGAGGGAAGGAGGTTTTGGTAATGGGCAACAATAATCAACCACATTGTATATCGGAAAATAAATAAATAAATAAATAAAGAGTTTTCCCTGATCATGGAGAGAATATATGCATTAAGATTAATATTAAGAAAATATACAAACCATTGCAAATATGTTTTTCTTTAAAGCATTTTTACCCCATGTTGTTTCTATTTGCAATAATTTGCAAATATACATTTATACATTTAAACACATCTGTTTGTTCTAAATTAGGGATGGATATCACCCTCTTCTCTCTCATTCCAGTGGATTATTACCTGTAAAAGAAACGAGAACACATGGCCTGACTTGAGTGATTTATAAGTATGATTTCCTTTCACATGGCAGAGAGATTGCATAATCATGACGGTAGTGAGTGAGTCTTGTTCTACTCTCCTCCCCACCAAACACACTCTACAGATGTTCCTCAGCTTATCATGGGGTTATGTCCTGATAAACCCATCTTAAGTTGGAAAGGCATTTAATACACCTAACCTACCAAACATCATAGCTTAGACCAGCCTACCTTAAATATGCTGACATTTGCATTAAATTTATAGGTATTAAGTTATTTAATTCTCTTTAAACCACTATAAGGAATGTAGCACATTTAGGAGCTTTAACCCAGTACCACATAGGTAGTGGGTGGCAATAGTAGGACCCTAGCCGGGCTCTCTAATTTCAAGTGATTTCAACACTAAGGTAAAGGACTTAGAAATCATAGTATAGATCACTCTAAGGATAATTGTTTTAAGATTTTAATACTATTTTAGGATTTTCTTAGCTCAAGAGGAATAATTTTGTTCTCCCAAATATTTTCTCTGAGGCATAATATAATACCAAATGCCTCAAAAAAAGATAAGACAACCTACAGAATGGTAGAAAATATTTGCAAACAATACATCTGACAAAGGATTAATATCCAGAATACACAAGAAACACAAACAACAGTAAAAAAAACAAATAATTCACTTTAAAAATAGGCAAAGGAGCTGAATAAACATTTCTCAATGGAAGACATACAAATGGCCAATAGGTACATGAAAAAATGCTCAGTATCACCAATCATCAGAGAAATGTAAATCAAAACCACATTGAGATATCAGCTCACCCCAATTAGACTGGCTATTTTCAAAAAGGCAGAGACAAACAAATGCTGGTGAGGATGCAGGGGAAGGGGAACTCTTCTACACTGTTGGTGGGGCTGTTAATTAGTACAGCCTTTATGGAAAACAGTATGGATTTTTCTCAAACAACTACAGATAGAACTACCATATGATCCAGCAATTCCACTGCTGGGTATATACCCAAAGGAATGGAAATCATGATGTTTACGGGATAGTTGCACTCCCATGTTTATCACAGCTCTATTTACAATAGCCAAGAGTTGGAAACAACCTAAATGTCCATCGACAGATGATTTGGTAAAGAAAATGTGGTATATATACAAAACGCAATACTACTCAGCCATAAAAAAGAATGATATTCTGCCATTTTCAGCAACATGGGTGAGCTTGGAGAAAATTATGTTAAGTGAAGTAACCCAGGCACAGAAAAAACAACAAAGAACAACAATAATAGCACATTAGGCTACAATTTTGGGCAGAATTATGTAACACAAAGCCTATTTAATAACAGTAAAAATTGAAGTGTTATTATAATAAAAAATAAAAATAATAAAATTAAATATCAAAATTCAAAAATTAAAGTATATTTTCTACTTAAATCAAAAAAGAAGTCAAACCAATATAAGTCGGGGACCATCTGTACATGCACACACACCCAACCTGGAAGAAAACTATTCCCTTTATGTTTAGGAATAAAGTCTTGTGGTAACATTAGAATTTTATAAAGCTCAAGTTTTTTACATTGGGCACAAGAGTTGACAAATTATTATTCCTAAAAGCCTGCCCTCAATAATTGCTATGAACTCTACATAATAAAACTATTTCATCAGGAGTAAATCTGCTGAAAGCATTAACCATGTCGTGTATACCAAACAGAGTGGTTATTGGATCATATGCCCTTTTGTATTAAGCCCATCTGTTCACCCCTGCACTGTATATAATTAAGCAGATGTACCAATATTTTAGCAATTTTAAGTGAAATCTGTGAGATTATTCACCTATCCTATTTTCTTTTCTTAGGCAGTGTCTTAAAGCATGAAAATCAAGGGATCCTTAACTATTACATTCCCAGCAAGGACAGTAGCTGGGCAAAGGTGATAGTAGAACCATGCCCTTCTAACATGAAATGTTAAGAGAGCACTAATGATGGGAAGTGTTAAGGATTCAGGCATGCATACGGCAGCCTGACATTGTGGGAGGAGCAGAGCCTTTAGGTTACTTTTCAAACACCCCTAGAGTTTGATTGCTTTGATTTCTGCCCCTAAATCCCATTACTATCCATGTCCATCAAGAGAATGGGGAGAAGTGCGTCCTCTCAGTTTCTCAATGATCTATTCCTTCCACTTTCTCATCTCCCCTTCAGAGCCTTTTGTCCTCCAACATAAACTTCACAGGAGTTGGGGAAGTGGATGAGAGGCTCATCTGGGTTGGGGCTCAAGGGGAGAATGCAATGATAACTGTGCTTTTTTGTGTTGTTGTTAAAGGTGTTTGGCATTTTGGAGAAAGCTAAAGAGCAATTTGATTTAGAAGATTATTCCGTCAGTCAGATAACACTGGAGCAAGTCTTCCTGAACTTTGCTAACCCAGATAATCAGCCAAATAATTAGGAGAAAACAGTGCTTTGAGATTATCATTTGGAACCAGTGATCCCTATGTCTCTCTCAGCCTGGATACATAGCGGGGCTTTCCTATGTGTGTATGTCTTGGTGTAAATATATTTAAGTAATAAAGATTTCCCCAAAGGAGAAAGTTTGTCTCCTTTGCAGATTTAGACGAGTTGCCTGTGTATCCAGCATGTGCAAATGTAAAAACATTTGGTGAGATCCCTGTTTTCTGTACTAGAAATATGAAAAGCAGCATTGATCAGGGTGGGGACCAGAACTTATACCTGAGTATTCTGAAAGTTTCAACAGAAACATCCAGAAATGATGGTGCTATCAGATGGGACAGCCCAAAAAACAAGAAGAAAGAGCTTTATGTTTTACCAGGTGAGTTATGGATAACAAGATTGCCTGGAGCAAATCTGCTTTCTTATGGATAAGCGCATGCGTGTGCACACACATATATACACATATGCAAACACACATGCATGCACACACACAAACACATACCAATTTCATACCAAAAAGAGTCTAAAATCAACATCAAAGTTTAAACACTGTGTTATTATTTCCAAAAGTCAAACCATGATTTTACCTACATTTGTAAGGGAACCTTTGCATGGAGAACATTCAGTGCCCAGGAACAGAAAGCAAAAACATTCTTTAGGGGGCCGGCCCGGTGGCGCACTGGATAGTGCGCCGCTTGGGAAGCGCGGCGGCGCTCCCGATATGAGTAATGTAATGATATAATTTTATAGGTACGTACACACAAATATATAAGTAAATATACTGTAAATACATATATAATTTCAGTTGTACAGTTTTATGAAAGTATTCCATGAAGGAAAAGTCTATGTGCACCTTATTGTAATAATTGCTCAATTCATTTAAAATTCATATTCTAGTGTCGTAGATTTTTCCAGCTCAAAATCCAAGGGGGGAAATACTATATATTTAATAATTTCTGAGACTTTTTTCCACCAGAGAGCCAGAAAATTCAGCTACTCTGTGGACATACTTTGTACTTTTATGCCATCTTGTCTGTCTTCTCACACTCTGTCCTCTGCACATTGAAATCTAATTCATCCTTTTGGGTCCTGATTGAATGCTGCTGGTTCTAATAAACTGATCTGATCTGTTCTAATAAACTGAGAGCTGATCTCATTAATTAATCTTTCTCTTTTGATTCTTTTAAGCTATCTTTACTATAACATTTCCCACTTTCTGTTGTGTGTTTTAGATGTTATTTTAAGAAGCAGGTGTGACTCTCGGTGCACAAACTTGAGTATGAAAGAAAAACAACATGTCTTAAAATTGGCTTTATACTGTTATATATAATGCATAGAGAAAACCATACTATGTGAACAATTTAAGCAATAATAAGACAAATAAATGTCTAATCACATTAGAGTATGAAATAGAACATTTCCAGGAATTTAAAGCCACTTGTGAGCCCCTCTCCAGTCTTAATCTACATGTATTCTGATATTTAAAATAATCATTCCCGGGTTTTCGGTGTGCTTCCTATGAATGTATTCTTAATAAATATGCACTGGAGCTTTGCCTTTTGAGCTCTATCTAAAGATAAATTGAACTTAATGAATGTGCTCTAGAACTTGTTTTTCACTCAGTATTATGCTGGGATATTCATTTCTGCTATGTTTAACTAGTTCATTACTCTCAATGATTTGCAGTATTCTGTTGTATGAATATACCACAATTTCTCTATTGTTAATTGACTTTGAGGTTGTTTTGGGGTTTCACATATTACAAATAATTATGCAAAGTATGTTCATGTACATTTTTCTTGTTGCATGTGTGTATACATTTTATTTGTTTAAATATATTATTGTGGAACCTGTCTCACCATCATTCTGCAAAAGAATTAGGATTAAGTCCTAATGCCCACAGGCATCCATCATATGTGATGATTTAATATATCTTCTACACATCAGAATGCTAGTAATTGTGTACCATCTGTGACAGAATTGAAGAAATAATCACTCAAATAAATTTTTGTGTTTTATGGTTCAGGTGAGAAACTCTAGTTGAGACAAACTGCTAGATTATAGCATATGCACCCTTCTAATCTTGGCTGATAATGCAAAACTGTTTCCAAGTGGTTGTGCCAATTTATACTTCCACCTACAGTGTATTAGAGTTCCCAGTGCTCTGCATCCTTGTGAGCACCTAGAATTATCTTTCAATGGTTTTTTAATATAACCCATTCTTGTGGGTGTGGAGTATCAAATTGTAGTATAATTTTTATTGCTGTCATAACTGATGAGGGTAGACACCTCTTTATTCACAGTACCATATTTTCTTTTTGGTTTCTGTAGTATCTGTAATGATGTATCCTCTTTTCATTTCTTATGTTGGTAATTTGTGCCTTCTCTTATCAATCTTGTTAGGGTTCATCATCTTTTCAAGGACCAACTTTTGACTTTGTTGATTTTCTATATTGTATTTTTTATCCCAACATTTTTAATAAAAAATTTCAAACATATGAAAGAATTATATAAGTGAACACCCACATATCCCCACTAGATTCTAAAATTATCTTTCTATGTTTGCTGTACCATACATCTGTCAATCTCCGTATCCCTCTATCCATCCAACAATCTGTCTTTTTTTCTGTGAATTTCACAGCAAGTTGAAGACATTAGTACATTTCACCCCTAAACACTTCTGCTTGCTTATCATCAATTAGTGTTTATATTGCACTTTAATTTTTTAAATTTATGTTCTTATCTTTCTTTATTATTGCCTTTCTTCTATTTTCTCTGGGTTAAATTTCAGTCTTTTTTAACTTCTTAAGATGAATATTTAACTCATTGATATTCAGATTTTTTCCATTTCTCATATTTTCATCCATAGTTATAAATACCTTTAAAACTATAGTGTTTTTAGGCCGGCCCGGTGGCGCACTGGAGAGTGTGCCGCTTGGGAGCGCGGTGGCGCTCCTGCCGAGGGTTTGGATCCCGGTTCTGCTCACTGGCTGAGCGTGGTGCAGGCGCAACACCGAGGGTTGTGATCCTGTTGCCGGTCCCCAGTACGGGTGCGACACCGAGGGTTGCGATCCCGTTACCAGTCAGTAAAAAAAAAAAAAAAAACTATAGTGTTTTCATTATTACATATTGCAAGATAATTTATTTCCATTGTGATTTCTTCTTTGATCTGTAGGTTATATAGAAGAGTATTCCTTAATATCTGAACATGTTGGTTTTTCCAACTTATCTTTTTATTGATTCCTAGCTTAGTAGCCTGTGGATAGAGAACATACTTTGTGCAATTTCAGTCCTTTGGAAAATGTTGATATTTGCTTCATGGGATAGCATTTTAGTAAAAATTCCATTTGTTCTTGAAAAAGGTGTATATTCTATAGTTTATTATGTAGTATTCTATATGTGTCCAATAAGACAACTTTGCTAATCATGGTGTTCAGATATTCTATAACTTAACTGATTTTTTGGTCTGCTTAATTTGTTACATTAAAAGTGTGTTAAATTCTACCTGTGTTATTACAGTTTTCTCTATTTCTACTTGCATATTTGCCAATAATTGCTTTATCTATTTTGAGTCCGTAATATGATCTTTATGTTTGTGTTTTAAGTGTGTCTTATAAAGAGTATGTAATTGGGTTCTCATTTTTTGTGTGTGTTTTTTTTTTTCAGGATTCTTTAATACTCTCTGGCAATTACTACGTTCATATTGGAGCATTAGAGCATTTTTCAGTCTGTATAATTCCTGTCATACAGTAATTGCATTTAAATTCACCATCTTATGATGTATTTCCTATTTGTCCAACCGTTTCTACATTTCTTTTTCTTTCCTGTCTATCCATTATGTTGGCTGAGAATTAATCTTGATTATTTCCTTTTATCTTTATTAGTTTAGTATATAATATGATCTTTATGTTTGTGTTTTAAGTGTGTCTTATAAAGAGTATGTAATTGGGTTCTCATTTTTTGTGTGTGTTTTTTTTTTCAGGATTCTTTAATACTCTCTGGCAATTACTACGTTCATATTGGAGCATTTGGAGCATTTTCAGTCTGTATAATTCCTGTCATACAGTAATTGCATTTAAATTCACAATCTTATGATGTATTTCCTATTTGTCCAACCGTTTCTACATTTCTTTTTCTTTCCTGTCTATCCATTATGTTGGCTGAGAATTAATCTTGATTATTTCCTTTTATCTTTATTAGTTTAGTATTTTGCACTCTCTTTTGCTGCTATTTTAGCAGTTCTCCAGGAAATTACAACATGCACTTTGTTTCATCAAAGTTTTGTATTAATTGGAACTTTTACAGTGCTCATAGACAATGGAAAGTTCTTAGAATATAGGCTCCATTTATCTCTGTTCTGATTTACATCCTATGTCATGTATTGTGAATTTATAGATAATTTAATCCCCTTAACCGTTAATATTGTCTTACAGAGTAGAGAATTTTTCAGATGTATACCTTTTTGTTGCTCTTTATTTATTTTTGCATCTCTTCTATGTATACTTTCCTTCTACAGGTACTCACCTTTTGGCTTTTTTAGGTCTGATTTCCCACGAAAAACTCTCAATTTGTGTTTGTTTGATTTTTGTCTTCATTTCACCTTAATTTTTGCAAAATATTCTTTGCTTGATACAAAATTTGAGGTCGGTAGTTATTTTCTTCCAGCACTTTCAGTATATCATTCCAAGCTGTGCTGATTTTCATTTTTTTTCAAAGTCAATGTAATTATTGTTTTTATGATAGTCATCTGTCTGTTTTCTCTGGTGGCTTTTGAAATTTTTTCTTTTTTGGCGGGGTGTCCTTGCTTTCAGGAGTTTCACTATCATGTACTTGAGTGTGGATTTTTAAAATTTCTCTTGCTTGGAGTTCATAGGGCTCCTTGAGTCAGTGATTTCTATGTCTTTCATCAGTTGTAGAAATTTTTCAGCTATTTCCTCTTCATTTGTTACCCCTGATTCATTCTCTCTCTTCTCCTATTGGTACTATAATTATGTATTT